TGCTAGAGTATGGAGCTTATGAACAGTGTATGTAAACACTAATCAGGAGCCCAGTAAGGAAAAGCAATGCACCATACTTAATTTTACTTCGTTTTGCGTTTGTTTCATTCATATGCAGATGAAAGGGGTGACCTTGATAATCACCCCAGTGATCATATTGCTGCATCAATTTGTGCACAGACCAAAAAAAAGATCTCTTTTAATGTATGATTTTTTTTTCTTATAAATATATACAAGGGATGAACCAATACCATTTTTTCAAGTACAAGTACTGATACTTGTCCAAGTACTCACAGATACAAGTACTGATACATTTTTGTTTATTGTCATCGAGAGTTTTTCTGAAACAATACAAACGAATGATTTCAGACCAGTACTGAAGCGCCAGAACTAGGTCCCAGCTGCAACCCTGGTAGTTCACGTGAAAATACCAAGTATCGGCACTGGTATCTGAGCATCCCTAGTCTATTGTTTTGAAAACTTTTGTTAATAAAAAATGTATTAAAAAAAAAAAGACATCCTGCATCCATCAGTGAACGCGAAAAAAACAAACCCTTTAATGAAAATGTTTAGAACTATTGATGGCCACCACTGATAACAAGCAGTCCTTCTGCATTTTGTATACTGAAAAGTCATGCACATTCTTTTAAAAAGGTCAGCAATAGATGCTACACAGTTCTTGGTAGTTTTTTTTCTTCTTTGAAAACTATTATTGTGAAACCTCTGCAACTGACTTCCCAGGACCCACATGAGGAGTAAAATTATCATTTTGTATCACAAGAACTGAAGTTAAAAAGTAGGTGAATACAGAGCTCAGAACTATGCCATGGATGTCTCTGCAACTAAAGCCTTCCAGAGATTCAGTTTTGGGTTGTCTGATACTTCAATTATGTATACAATGCTGCAAACAAATGTAGTGAAATGATCATGTTAAGATTTTCTGCTGTTCATACTATACTGGATATAGCAAAAAATAGTTGTTTATATACCCATATTATTTTAGATATGTGGAAAAAAAGGACATTTCTAATTGTAACATGTACAAAAAAATGGATGTTGCAACACTGCACAAACCAACTCACATAAAATTTAGAAACTGAGGGGTTGATTTAGGGCCAGTGCACACCTAGGCAATCGTGCACGATTCCACGCAGTCAGGAGTCGCCCAAGTGTGCACCGATCGCGCTCTGGGTGCCATTATTTTCCAATGGCACCCGAGTCATGCCGGGCGGATCACACTGTTTCCCACCGCAATTCCGCATGTGATTCTGAACACAATTGCGGCTAAAACAGCTGCGTGTCGTGTATCGCAGAAAAAAAAGGTACGGGCCGAATCATGGCGGGAAACCATATCTAAAATAATGGCACCCACAGCGCAATCGATGCACACCTGGGCGACTCCTGACCGCGCTACAATCCGCACGGAATCGTGCATGATTGTGGTGGGGTGTCGCCTAGGTGTGCACCGGCCCTTACGAAAGACAAGTAGGCTGTTCATGGGAATTTGCACTTCGCAGGGGAAGTTTCCCTCAGCTTAGTAAATGAGCTGAAGTTCTGCTGACATACATCATCCAATCATGTGCAAGCAAAAATACTTTATTTTATTTTCCTTGCACATGATTCAGTATACTTTGCAAAGTGAAATATCACTACATTCACCAAGCTAAGGGAAACTTCCCCTGCAATGTGCAAATTCCCTTGCAAAGTGAACTGCCTATTTGCCTTTAGTAGATCAACCCCTGAATGTCCAAAGAGATAGGACTGATAAGTCCACCCTGAAGTGACTTTAGATAGAGGTGGAGTCGGGTGAGCCTAGTCACCTTCCTGGCTTTTTAACATTTTGAAGGTTTCAGCAGCAAAGTTTCCCAATGACACGGGATGAGTTAAGAAAACTGGATTAAAAAACTGAAGGAAATGTAGTGCAAAAGACCAAATCAACCAATCTGTTTGCTTGTTATAGTTTCACAATGCAATCTTACTGATATCTATGTGCAACAGTTCCACTTTTACTCCACCTTTCTCTGACTCCATGTTCACAAAGCAGGCCAGTAGTTTTCAGCTCTGCTCCTATACACCTTCAAGTCTCACTCCTACTGTTCCCAGCAGTTCCTACTTATACTCTTGCATTCTCCTAAACTCAAGCTTGGAAAGGTTTTGTATGGACTGACCCTCTCAACCAACACAGTGAGAGTCCACACAACATTTACGATCACACTTTACCAATCAACAGAAAACTATTGGTAATTCATAATGAAAGTCTAGAAAGATCATGTTTATCGTTGATCTCTGCACTGTAACAGGTCACGTTACTTGAACTCTCAAGGAAATATATTAGTATGCAAATGTAAAACATCTCTTCAGAAGGCAGGTCTCTGATCTTCACAAGGTCAAGAATTATACTGTATATAGCAATAGTCTCAGGATGTTAGACATTAATGTCACACCCATTGTGATACTCAAGCAGGTCCATTCTGCTTTAACCTAACACAGGTTATACTTTATTTGTGAAGCAAACAAGGAGGTGTATAACAGGAATCTCCTTTTCCGAGTAACTGGTTTTCTTAGAGTTGTGCAAGCATATATCACCACATCAAGCTAGTATAGCTAATATAAAGTTTTCACAGCGCAAACTAAAGAAAGTAAAGCTAATAAGATTATATAAATCTTGTTATCACCTGCTCCAACAAATGTGCTGCAATACAGTCATATAAACGATTAATATTAACCTGTATTTCATTTATAAGGTGACATTAACAGTAATAGGTTAACAATTAACATCAAACTTCTACATGCTATCATCTGATTAAAAACAAAACACGTACTTGCTAGCATACAAAGTTGTAGATTCAAAAACTACAACCAAATAAAAACAATTTCACTAAAATTCAGAGTATGGCAATGATTTAAGAAAGGAGAAATTTTGATTCAAATAGCAACATTCCTTTATTATCAAAAAAGTAAGCAAATGAATGGATATGTGTTCCAATATCCAGGGGACACTTAGTATGTGATCTGGATATGTCTCCTTGAATGAGTGCTTCAAATCCCCCAAAAAACATACCACCCAGAGCACCCCCAACACTTCCCACCTTTCTGGATATTGTGACAGTAGACTCACGCCTGCCCCATCCCCCCTCCCTTATGCCAAAATGCAGCACTCAGCACAAAAGTGACCTATCGCCAAGCATCAAGTATTGTCATGTGGGGGTATCTTGAAAGGAAGAGCATCCCCAACACTTCTCACCTTTCTGGATATGGTGACAGTAGAATCACCCCCGCCGCATCCCCCCTTCCCTATGCCAAAATGCAGCACTCAGCACAAAAGTGACCTATTGCCAAGCACCAAGTATTGTCATGTGGGGGTATCTTGCAAGGAAGGGGGGTGGGGGGTGGACAACATGCCTAAGCCTATGAAACACCAACTTTCAGAAAAACTAGTGTTTGCATGGGTCATTTAGGGAGCTTTAGAGTCGCATTATATGCGGTTTCCAGTAAACTGAAGGTACACTCATATCAATATATTAAAACAATGCTCTATTTTACCTATGACACTATTGTTGGAAAACTATTGTTGTTGAGTTGGAAAAAGTCCAGCGAAGGGCAACCAAACTAATTAGGGGTATGGAGGACCAGAGCTACGAGACAAGGCTACTAAATTTAAACATGTTCACATTAGAGGTGAGGAGATTAAGGGGGGATATGATTTCCATGTACAAAATGTTTAATGGTGGTAGCAACATTAGCGATAAACTGTTTAAAATTAACTCCGTTACAAAAACTAGAGGCCATCACCTAAAATTGGTGGAAAAAAAATTCCAGCACAAGGGGCGAAGGGGGTTCTTCACAGTAAGATCAGTTAGGGTCTGGAACTCACTGCCACAGGCGGTGATTTCAGCAAATAATGTGGAATTGTTCAAGAAACTTTTGGACGATTTCTTAAGGGACCGTAATATACAGGGGTACGGGTACTCCTAGAATGAGATCCTAATAGGTTGGACTTGATGGACTAATGTCTTTATTCAACCTCAAATACTATGTAACTATGTAACTATGTACCAACATGGGAACTGTAAATGTCTCTTTACAAAACGGAGAAAGGATGCTGCAAGATTTGACATGGGAAACTGGACAGATGTTCTGATGTGGGCTACAGATTAATTACTCTAGTGAAGCAAATACTTGATATTCTGATCTATAAACAGACTTGGACATACACCTTAAAGTAAAAATAGATATAGAGTCAGCCATTGTTTTCTTGCTTCTGACAATACTAGTTGGCTAACTGCCATCAGCTGAAATACTACCAGTTACAACCCTAAAACAAGCATTGAAAAAAACTGAAAGTCAAAGTGGGGCCAGAACTCCTGATCTGCATGTTTGTTCTAGGTCAATGCCAAGTCAGACAGCATTGCAGGAATTGAATGAAAATACAGCCAACTTACAGACAGATAGGCGTATATTGGCAGCCTTCATGTTTCTCGGTATCCTTTATTGGGCAATTATAAAATATTTGGATATTCTGTACTCACAACATATGACTATACCACGTGTATAAGAAAAAATCTGTCATGACTAAATAACCTAATCTGATCTAATAACTAATATGATCTGTTCAGTAGATTGGGACACACAAGGATATGCATAATATCCTTTATAATATAATTAATAATAACAGCTTTGTAAAGCTGTCAGGGTAGTAGCTGTCAAGTATTAGTATTATTTTTGCATGATTTATCCCAACATCAGCAGAGCTTGCAAAATATGAAGTCACAAAGTCCAATTGTTTTCTTTTCTATAAAAGTACAATGGGTAGCTACAAATACTTTTTGCTCTGTATTTAAATCAGCTGTGAAACCAGGCATAGTTATATTTTAATGTATATTATTTTACCTGAGGGTTACAGAAATAGTATGGCAACATAAGCAGTCAGTCACTCTCTAAATGTATATTGTTGTTAGAAAAATGTAAAACAACCGACTTATTTTCACTACATGACTCACCATTTGACATTCTCTTTAATTCGTCTTTCCCATCTTCAATTTCTTTTTTTAGCCTTACATTTTCTGCTTTAATAGCCTTTTCATTTTTGCCAACTTTATTTGAATCCAAAGCCTGCACAATGAAAGAAAACCTATTCATATGCTAAATATGTCTGGCAAAGGTAATAACAAGCACTCCTGTTGTACCTACTTCTAGGCAGGGATATCAGCTGTAAAAGCGAAGAGGTCAACAGGTTTGTGTTAAACCACTACAGTCTATACATTGCACTTTGCCTGTTCCAATTTGTTTCAAGGGCCTTTTTCATCCAGCACATCCAAGGGCTGTGGCTTAAAGGGACTTTGTCAGGATTACTGTTGCTGGTCTAAGCCAAGGCCACTGTACAAAACCCGAAGTGGTTCCCAGTTCTGGGGCAGAGCACAACTCCACAGTACCACTCCCAGTGATGTGCCTGTCCCAGAACTAGCACCACGTTACATTATATTTCAAATTCTCAAGTATTTTCTGCTTTAACGGCATGCACAGAAAAATGAGTCACTTCAGTAATCTGGCCAGTTCCCTTTTGCAACCACATTATTTAGTGGCTTAATCCATAATATTTTTTTCACCAGTGTAATAGATCCTCATTAAATCAGAAACGGTCATGTCCTTTATTTTTGTTTAAACTAAAATATTTGTTTGTCAATCTATTGACAACTTTGGGTCTCAGCATTAGAAAGAATTAGAAAGGGTGTAAGGAACATTTACCTGGTTCAAATGATCCATTAAGTAAAAGTCCTCTCCTAATTCTGCTTATTTATTGCACATCTCCATCTACCAGTGCTAGGTGATGGGTGAATAAAAAGCTATCAGACAACATTTTTGACAGCTACCAACAAGGCACACCAGTTGCCAGACCTTATAAATCTAGGCCTTAGGGTAGCTTGTTACAAATGCCATTCTGAGACTATTTCATCTTGAAAGCCTAAGAAAATGAAGCAAACAAATTACCTTCTTTAGTTCATCGTTGTCTTGCATGTGCTTTTTGGCAGCCTCGTTGACCTTCTCTACTTGTGTTTGCCTAGCATCATTGTCATCCATCACCGATGCCAGCTGATTTATCAGTGATATGACACGACGCAGAACACTACAAAACATGTAACAATAGCGATTCCTAGTCAGATAATTTTTTTAAAGCATTTATTACATATGAACTTACTAGAAGGAGAGTTCCTCAAACTCTTAAAATGAAAGAAAACTACAGTTAAAATATATAGCCATAAAATATATACATTTGAAATCTTGCCTAGTTTTGCAGGGACTCCTTTCGGTCTACTGCTTAACTTTGATTAGATATACAAGTGAAAGAATACTATATTGTCAGTTATATAGCTAGAGAAACTAACAACCCAGTCAGGGAATGGATAACAAAATGTAATGCCATATGTAAGTGTTACAAGATGTCCATAAACATGAATACTTTCCAATGACTTTCTCCTTAGGAACCATGTAATGTTCTGTTGATGTACCTGACATTAGGAGTACTGACACACATCAACTCTCCTATTTAGAGCTTCCTCTTCTTACTTCTTCCACTTCCCCACTCCATTACCAACAGATAATACAGTTTTGTATGAGACACTTACAGCCACAGAAATAGAGAGAATCCGGAGATGTATAAATTCCGCTGGGATCTGAAAAGCTTCATATGGATGTGATCATAAGAACTAGAAGTAAGAGATGCCCCCTTGTCAATAGTCGGACCTGAAGAGTATTTCCTAACCTCTCTTACAGCATCTGTAATAAAAATTAAAAGTTGCTGGAGTGGATAATGGCAACAATATCAGCATTTTTTTTTTTAAGGATGATACACAAAGGTAGCACAGCTAGGCCAGGCCAGGCCTTATTAGGTTAGGCTAGGGGGTGAAAATGAGTGTTGCTGGACAAGGCAAGGAGGTGCTGCCTATGGATTTTGGCAGTATTGCCCAGTGAAATCTTCACTTGTTTTTTAATGTGGTCTAAACACCATTTCCTGAAAACTTCCTGACAGTAAAGTTGTCTACAGACATAGAAAGGCAGTTAGATGTACAACAAGGCAGCTAGCATTTCCATAAAGAAGTCTGCAATTCACTGCTTGATAAAAATTCAGATTACTGAAAATAGAAAAGCCTGCAAGTAGAAGTTTGTACCATTTATTAGAGGTGCACCGAAATGGAAATTTTAAAACCGAAACGAAAATCGAAATAAAAAAAAAAATGTCAGGCCGAAACCGAAAAGGTTTATTTTTTTTAAATATTTTATTTTTTTATAAACTTAATTTTTTATATTAATTTTTATTTATTAATTCATTGGGGAGGAAAGAAACCAGGGATGCGCCGATGTATCGGCCGAAACATGGCTCTTTCGGCATTATGCCAAAAGTGCCATTTTCGGCCGATATATCGGTGCATCCCTACCATTTATCACTATTCTGGAAATCATAGAGATCACCAGCACATCATATGTTCAAAAGGAAAATGTATTAGTTACATAGCAATGCAATGTTTCAAAGCGCTAACCATCTCCTTCCTCAGGCAAGCAGCAATATCAAGGTTTGCCTGGTTAGTGCTCTGAAATATTCTCTGTGATACATTGCTTATGGTAAGGACACAATAAATATGGTGTCATTCAAGACCTGAATGTAAAATATAGGGGGTTACTCACTAAGCTGCTGAAGGCAGTGCATGGCAAAGCGTTGTGACACATTGCCATGTGTTGTGATACACTGTGTTGCAAATAAATACATGCCTGTATCATTTTATCACTACACACACAGCAGCACAAACGATAACACAAGTCGCTTACAGTTCTGCGTTAAGTCATTTTTGTACAGTTTCGCAAAAAAGAAAAATGTTGCGCTTTTAGAAAATATATGTTTGGGGAAGTCTTTTACAAATGCTAGCAACGCCGCAATTGAAAAACAAAACAGGGGGGAGGATTGCAAAAATGGTGTGGCCAGCTGAAGTTAAAAGTGTTCCAGAGGGCTTGGCAGCAAAATGGTTAATTGAAAAAAAAAACCACAAAAGATTCTTCACAACTCCTTTTTTAGAAAAAACAACTGGGCGGCTGGCTCCGCCCAGTTGTCATTCAATGAACCGAGGACGCTGGGCTGTCATTGAATGACAACAACTGGGTAGAGACAGCTGTGACATCACGGCTGGCTCCGCCCAGTTATTTACATTTGCAGGGAGAACAGTCTGCTTCGGTAGACCATTCTCCCTGCTTCAGCTGTGGCTTCGTCTCAGCTGAGCCGAAGCATATGCGTATGGCTCGACTGAGCCGCTAGGCTGCCTTCGGCTGCTGTACGGGCTATTGTAAATAGCCTGTACAGCAGCCCTTCAGTTAGACTGAACTGAAGGGCTCGCCGATGCTTTGACTTAATCCTTCGGCTCCTTCGTGAATAACCCTCATAATGTATTTTCAGTTAAAGCCTACAGTTGTCAAAATAATCAGGAAGTTAGAACTGTCAGGTTTTTATTGTTGTCCATGACCCCATCTGAAATATCCCCTCACATTTTAAGCCTGTGGCACCAGGGCAAGGAATAAAAAGAATAATAATAATAATAATAAAAAAAATAAAAAAACACAATTTCAACCTTTTCCCATTTTAATAAAGTATTTTTGTTGCTATCTATGTCCACTTTTCCTGAGAAATTTCCCAAAGTTTTCTGTCCTCATTTGTAAAGGATAGCACACATTTGTGACCATATTTAGTGTATAACATGAAACAAGGTCACATTCTCCTTTATAATTAGCAATAAAATGTTGTGATACTAAAAAAGGAGCTACACATGTAGGTTTGTTTTCAGAGCAAACGTCCCAATGTACTTTTCTTGTCACTTTGGAAGTGGCAAGAAATTAGGAGGCCCGGGTGGCAGAACTTAGGCTGGGTTCACACCTGAGTGTATTTTTTCAGCTCGTTTTTCGCTGGGGGTTTTTTTGCGTTTTTTAACAAGTTTTTCCACGGTTTGATTTATGTTTTTCCCTTATTTTCTCTATTTAAAAAAAAATAAAACAATTTCACTTTCAAACGTCCCGCCCCCCCTGTGACGCGGCCGCTCGAAAGGGACGGAACCCGGAAGTCGGCATCCACCGGAGGACACAGCGGGGATCAAGGACAAGGTAAGACCTGTACGCTGTATTCCGGAGTGTGGCTCGGGGTTACCGATTTGTTAACCCCGATCCACACTCGGGAACACCAATGGAAACGCGCTGAAATACGCTCCAAAGAAGCTCCTGTACTTCTTTGGGCGCAGGGCGTTTTTCAGCACGTTCCTACGCGCTGTAAAATGCCAGGTGGGAACCTAGTCTTTAACCAGGCACTGTATCTGACAGATTGCAAGTTTTAATCTAATTAAGAAAAAAAAAACAATTGGAGCATTGCCATGTAGGTTGGTCCGCAAATGGAAGGGGACTGGCTTTCTCCATTGACATCTGCTATCCCCTAGTCCCACAGAGCACTGCAGGGACAGTGGAATAACACTAAGAGTTGACTTTAGTGAGTATTCTTGCCCTCGTTACGTAACAGTAAGGCAAGACATTACAGCAATAAATGAAAAGGTGTGTTGCTGCAATAAAGGTAAAATAGTTACAAAAGGCACTGGTGACTGCTTCTCATGTGCCTCTCAAGGATACGGAGAGGTGTGGCAGCTCCAGCACAAGGACTTATTTTATGTTTTGTAAACAGAATTGTTGCATGTAAATTCACACTAACAGTAACACAATATTTCCTTCCCTGTAGGAAAACAAATCAGCTAAAACCTTAGTTTAATATTATTATTGTTATTATAATAAAACAGGATTTATATAGCACCAACAGTTTGCACAGCACTTTACAATATAAGGAATACAATTCAAGACAAGATGGTAAGGAGGGCCCTTCCCGTGAGGGCTTAAAATCTAAGAGGAAGGGGCAAGTGAGACATGAGGAGGTAGCTGTGTGGGAATGAATTATTTGAAAAAGAGTTCAGTGGTTAGTTTGAAGTGTGATAGGCTTCCCTAAAGAGATGAGTCTTTAGTGATCGCCGAAAGGCAGTCAGAGTGGGAGATAGACGGACAGGTTGGGGAAAGGAGTTCCAAAGAATGGGAGAGACTCTAGAAGTCCTGGAGGGGAGCATTGGAGGAGTTGACGAGGGACCTAGAGAGCAGGAGGTCTTGGGAGGAGCGTAGGGGACGGTTATGGTGATACTTTGAGACCAGGTTGAAGATATAGTCGGGGGCAGAGTTGTGAATGGCTTTGTAAGTGGTTGTTAATATTTTGAATTTTATCCTTTGGGCGAGTGAAAGCCAGTGGAGGGATTGGCAGAGGGGGGTTCCAGACACTGAGCGGTTGGTCAGGTGGATGAGTCTAGCAGCAGCATTCATGATAGACTGAAGGGGGGATAGTCTGTGTAGATTTGGTCCAATGAGGAGGGAGTTACAATAGTCGAGACGAGAGATAACAAGTAAGTGGATGAGCAGCTTTGTGGTTTCATTGGTGTGGAAGGGTCATATTTTGGAGATGTTACAAAGGTGAAGACGGCAGGATTTGGATAGGGATTGGATGTGGGGAAGAAAGGTGAGGTCCGAGTCAAGGATGACACCTAGCACCTTGGCATGGGGGGAGTGGGGGGGGAATACCATGAGCTCAGTTTTTGAAAGATTTAGCTTTAAGAAGTGTTGTGACATCGAGACCGATATGTCAGTTAGTAAATTAGTGATACGTAAGGAGACTGAGGAGGTGAGTTGTGGAGTGAAGAGATTTGAGTGTCATCAGCATAGAGATGGTACTGGAAGCCATGTGAGGTGATCAAATGACCAAGAAAGGAGATGTAGCTAGAGAAGAGAAGGGGGCCTTGGGGGACCCCAACAGAAAGGGGAAGAGGTAGAATTTGTAGGTTACACTAAAAGAGCTCTTAGATAGGTAGGAGAACCATGAGGCAACAGAGTCTTGTAGGCCAAGCAAGTGGAGGAGCAGTGTGTGGTCAACTGGTGGTCAATATGCCACAAACCTTATCTTTAAAGTACGCCTTTAATGTGTGAAATATGGGTGCTGCCGATCCTGGCTTCCTTCTGAAGATGGCCAATGCTTGGCTGTGTCTGCCTTCAATAATCTTAAATCACAGACCATGAACAAGCATGCAGTAAATGAATATCAAAGAAAAGTGAGAACTTGTTATATTACTTCTGGGGTCAGCATGTGAAAAGTACTGAAGCCAGTGCTTCACCATGATGACCAAACAACTAGACTTTTCAAAAGTAAAGACCAGCAATGGTAGCCGAAACTGTGTATTTATATTTTGGCAGGTTTGCTTTAATAATTTGTAGGTGCGGTAATTAGACTATATTAAGAGTCAACTGATACACACAAATCAGAGCTCAAGAGGACCTGTGGTACTGCAAGTAACCACTTACAAGGTTGTGCAATGGGAATATATTCAATACCTTACATGCACAAGTTCTACTCGCAAATTGCCAAGACCATGTGTAAAATATGTAAAACCCATTCATTAAAACCCATCTATCAGTTCACATATACTACCTATATAGTTACATAAGGTATTTTATTCTCCGATCCCATTTTCACATGTGCTGTGTATCCCTTACATCAAGTGCCTAAAAAATATATATATTTTGCAGGTATCTGTAGAGACATAGGGAGAACAATAAATTTCTGGTCTTCTTTACGGATTGCTTGACTTCCGTGGCGAGCTTCATTAGACATTTTCGCTCCCACAGAACATCACTTACCCCAACACACAGTTAATCAATGTTTAGTTCAACAATGTTTTTTTGTTCTATTTTATTTCAACTAGATTATAACATAGGGCCATTTTAGAAGTAAAGTGTTTAATTAAATTCTTTAACCAGCCAACTATCAAATGTGGTATCTAATTTTAAAATACGAATTAGAAAATACAGTCTAGTAAAAGCAGAAAAAAACAATGAAGCATTGACGTGAAGGTTAGTCTAGAAATGGATAGAGGCATCTGCTATCCCCTAATCCCACAGAGAACCCCAGAGATCCCCAGAAAAGTCAATGCTGACTGCGGCAAGTATACTTGCTCTTGTTACACAATTGCATAAGAATTTATCAAGTCACAGGACATAAAAGTTAGTTAAGAGATTACTGCATGTTGCAGCAATAGAGGTAAAAATGTTACAAAGGACATTGAGTACCGCTTCTCATGTGCCTCATACGGATAAGGAGAGGTGTGGAAGCTCCAGCACAAGAGCTTCTTTTATGTTTTGTAAACAGAAATGTTGCATGTAAAATCAAGCTAACGATCGCAATACTTCTTGCCATTTCCAAATAATCAGGCAAAATCTTACTTCAATATGCCACAATGTTCATCTTTAAAGTACACCTTTAAATGGATGCTTCCATTTATGGCCTCCTCCTAAAAAATATAAATTGCTTGGCTGTGTCTGGCTTCAAAAATGCAGTGTTTCATATGTTATAAACAGTTGAGTATAAAAAATGTCTTATAGGGAAACAAGTTATGTATTTTTTTGTGTTATCAAAAAGCAAAAGGACTCCCCAGAGACAAAGTCAGACAACCAGTATCCTCTGTGAGGAATGGTTGTCGTTAAATATATATTGGGTCTGCAACTAGGCAAAACATGGAAAAAGGAAAAAGAGATTGGTCGCAACCAATCTGTTTTTCCTTTTTTGTGTGTTACCCTATTGATATACTTGTTTCCACTGGCGGAACTACCAGGGTCGCAGCGGTCACAGGCCCTGGCGTTCCGTCACTTGGGGGGGGCCCAGCAAGGAAGTAGAGGGCCCCCCCGCGATCGTTCCGCTCCTTCCCTGTCGCACAGCCACCCGCAGCATGTACGGGCAGCTGTGCAAAATGGCTGGAGAGGCTGTCACTGATTTCTGAGAATTTGCTGGTCCAGCCTCTTAGGGGCGGAGCTAAGAGGTCCGTCTCCTCTTAGCTCCGCCCCCCAAGACGAGGAATGAGCCTGCAGGAGAGGTAAGGTAAGTTTGGAGTGAGTGAGAGATGGGGGGGGGCCTTCATGGTTTCTTGCACCGGGGCCCTGAAGGTTCTAGTTACGCCTCTGCTTGTTTCCAGTCATAAGGTAGTGGCAACCCACTATGATTTTAGACAGTGAATTTTGAAGACACTACCCCTTGCACATTTAATTGTAGTGCGTTTCCTAGGCCATATGCAGCATATGCTTTATCCAAAAAGATTTGCAGATATCTGTACAGACATTTAGGGAAAAGAAGATTTTTTTTGGTCTTCTTTAGTTATAGCTTGACTTGTACATACATGCCATGCCATTACATAAAGTGGACATTTTCTAGTTGCCATAGTGACTGGGTGACCAAGATTTTAAACCTTGTATGAAATGCTATGCCTATATTAGTCACAGGATAAATATTAAAGTCCATTAAACCCTTTGGTATTTTACAGCTGCTGCCTTCGCTTGGATTGAAAGTATTTTGCTCCTATGAAGTTGGCTACAACCATGACACATACAAGTTAATTGAATAAGCCTCTCCAAAGAAAAAGATGGCTAACCAACATATCTAGTCTGAATTTTTTGGTTTTATTTGGAAAAAATGAGGGTCATGTGACATAAGAGAGTTTATAGAAGAGGTTTGCAGCAATTTCAATGCCCTTGATTACTTTCTATAGCAATTTGTAAATGCTTATAAACTTGTTGCTGTATCTAGCTGTAATACTCATCTGTGCAGATATAAAATAGTAGCATACCATGATCATCAGCAGTTGTTTTAAAGGAGAACTACGAGATGAGTGATTTCCACTCACCTCATAGTTCTAGCCGACCTGTGACAATGAGACTGTCACATGTCGGCTCAGTAGATCGGGAGGTGAGTGAACACATGCCGGGTTCGTTCACCTCTCGATCCTATCACGGCTCTCTGCCGTGAAAGGGGAGGGGCTGGATTCCCCTCTCCCCGCTCCAATCTGCCAGCGCTGACTGGTGGAATGGACGGGGGAGGGGGCGGGTACAGCTGGCTCTGCCTCTAGATAGGCAGAGCCAGCTGTCACTCACGCAGCTGGGCGGATCTCGACGTCGATGTCGTGATCCGCTCCGGCGTCTCAGTATACCGCGAGCTGTAGCTCGCGGTATACTGAGCTTAGGGTAACGGGAGGACGCTAGTTTGTGTCCTCCCATTACCCTTAGGAGAACTATGGGGAAAAACACTGACCCCATAGTTCTCCTTTAAATAACATTACATATTTAGCAACGTAATTTGTGTGACAACAGAATTGTAAATTTCAGAAAATGATTGCATTACATGAGTTGTCTGAATTTTAGGTGACTGTTTTCAGTTAAATAAAAAAATAAAAAAAATCCTGGCAGAAGATTTAGTGAAATGTAATCTAACAAAATGTTTTGGTTTGTGTCAATAAAGCATGGTATATTTTATGGCCATGTTTGACTGTGGAATCTATAATTGACTGTTCATGTATGGTTATGAGTAAAAACAGAATAAGGTAACTGTGTATGTAAAGAAAACTAATTTCATTCAAATCAATACAATTGTCCACTGGTGATTTTTTCATAATATATCCTGAGCAGTTCTTACTGTAAATGTCAGAAAAGGGAAAAACTTTGGTTTACTGTTCATACATTTTCTACCCTGATTCCCTGCATACTTTACTCAACAGATCACATAGAACTGCACAACCCATTTACAGTTGACTATTAGAAGTATGTGTGAAAAACACTGATATATCACATTATATACATGTCTCAGGTTTTTAAACTTTGACCCGGAAAAAATGTAAAATGTATTTTACATAAATATATAAATATAATTACTTACCAAGAAAAAGGACAACCAGCACAACTATAATGGATAAAAATGCTTTGTTCCAGTATGGAGAGATTTTACTCCATAACTGAAATCTGAATATTTTCCTCCATCTGGAATGAAAACACATAATAAACACAACATAAGATCAATAACAAAAATAACATATATGCATAAATTGCTTGCATCTTGCATAAAAAAGGGACATATACTAATATACTTGTTTTAAACTATACATGCCCTGTAACACACAAGCGCACAAAAAATAAAAAATAAATACCATCACAATGCAGAACACAACACAGTTATTGAAGCTACATGTGTGACCTCTACAGGACATGGTGAGCCAATACACTTGATGTACTTGGGAATGAAAACTAATATATATATTAAAACTAATAATATATACACACACACATACATACAGCTGAAACTCGAATAATTAGAATATCGTGCAAAGCTCATTTATTAAAAAATCACTTCTACTGTCGTGGTAAACAACCTGCTTCCCTATGTATAATGGTCTGGCCCTCTAGCAACTTCAGTGCAAAATTATAGCTAATTATAGCTAATTTGCCTGCAAACGTCAGGTGGTCATAATAAACTGGCCACTCAGTGTATATCTCACACATTTTAAAACAGGTAACATCCCTTGGAATCTACCGAGAATGTAAAAATAATCTCATTGTCACAGGTCGGCTAGAACTATGAGGTGAGTGAAAAGCACTCACCTCATAGTTCTCCTTTAAATCTTTACTGATTTTATCAGATCTATCCTACAGTATACCTGTAACTAATGACATGCATTAGACAAATTGTGAACCTATAACAGTGTAGTCAACATTACATCTATGAATTAGCCTCAATCTGATTTTAAAGGGTCAGTTCAATCTTTGCCATTTTTTTTGGTCACACGATAGTTAGCTCAAGTGTTTCTTAAACCCAAATTTTCAGGAAAAAAATAACTTTACATTAATGTTAGTGCACATAAACACGATATAGTGTCCAATGTTTGGTAAACTATAAAAGATGAGGTTGTACTGAGTAAAGAGATACCAAACATGTCAAGCTTCAAAATTGCATGCACCCGTGAAATGGCAAAAAACATTGCCCAAAATTATCCATAGGCGATGCTTTAAAAGCTCACATTCCCACCCCTCTACTCCTCATTCAATCACAGAATGCCTTGTATTTGTTTTAGAAAACCACAAGGCATTTTGTGAATGGGCAAGTAGTGAGGAGGGGAAGGGATGCGTCCAGAGCACTTCACTGCTTGAATTACATCCCTCGCTCTCGGAAATGCTCAGAAGCCCTGGCATAATGTATAGAAGCTGGTATGCTGCATGGTAAGATTTTTAAACTTTGCAAACACCCCCCCCCCCCCCCTACACACACACACACACACACACACACACATACCTCTTTCTAATGATAATTTACATCCCACACCAGGCATGTAAATTATCTTTTGTTTTGTTTCCTGGAATTTGGCTTTAAAGGAAACCTATTATGAGAGGAATACTGCCATTGTTGATCTCCTGATTATTTTAGTTGTATGTCTTTTATGATGACTCACTGACTTCAGTAATTTTTAAGTCACTGGCCTAAAACAAGTACACATGTGAGGTAAGTCAGAGGACCTCTTTTAGGTCAGCAACTGAAGGTATTGAACCTAGAGAGGGCAGTGATGACAGCCCTCCTACTATCCCTCAGTACAGGCGTTCTTAATTCTTACTATGCAACAATTTCATCTCTATTCTTCAAAGACCACACATGTACTTCTATGTGGGCTTTGACTTCGAGTCACACGATTCTGTTGCTGTGCAATTACTCTCTCAAGGAGCCTACAATGATCAGTATGTGGTCAGGATCATCCTTCTTTTATCTGGCCTGTATAATAAGACTGCAAGGCAAATGGTGCTCCATGAAGATTAGTGGCAACAATGCAGTTTAAAAAAATGAGGTGGCCTTGAACAACTATGGATATGCATAGATTTAAAAAAAAAAAAAAACAGCAACCCTAGATAGATGGGATATGTATCATGCAAACACTTCAAGGGTTCAGTTACATTATCAAAAAACACACTTAGAAGCATGGGATTCAGAAGAGTATCCAGCAGCGTGTTTTTTAAGTAGTATTCATGCCATGATTAAAAAAAATATCCTGTGAGAATAAATGAAAGTGAACACCTAGCCATGGCATTAACAATGCACCCGACATTCAGCCCCCTACAGTGTACACCAATAAGCCTGCGTACCACACGTAATTGTTTCCAATCTTTGGGTGGACCCTGATATGTATCAGAATTGCCTGCAAAACATCCTTCTTTTAGTGTCCATCTACACAGCTTTAATCTCAATTTCCATTTATTAGGGATGCACCGATACCGTATTTTCGGTATTGAGTACCGATATTTTCTTCAGGTATTCGCCGTTACCAGATACCGATACCGGCATGCTGGGGTACAGTGGGCCCGGCTTATCAGGTGTACCTCTGACCGGAAGTTGAGTGTACCTCTGACCGGAAGTTCCGGTATCGGGGTAAGTATCGGCACCGATACTAGTATCGGTATTGGTGCATCCCTACCATTTACCTATTAAGTGTCAAATTAGGGAACTCTTAAATTTAAATACACATTTTATATTATTTAATAAAAAATGTTAAACTAAGTAAAAATCTCCAGTGGCGTTAAGCCATAGCATGTTATAGTACATGCTGACAGCTTCACAAAGGAACCAAGCTGTTACAAAAATATCCTAGGCAGCTTGGGTCAAATGCATGTTCCAATACATACAATACATGCATCCAATACAATTCTCTGAAAAATTCAAGTTACAAATCTTACAAAATTGAAAAGTAGATTACAAGATGCACCCCAGTTAAAGCCTAGCATTACATGGGTGACCCAAGCTGCACCACTGCATAAAATTCTTTCTGTGATTTGGGAACTATAGGTTCTCCTCTAGGTTCTTGGCACCCCCTCCACCATATCATTCAGAAAGACTGTGGGGGGAATTCACAAAACTTGAGCAGAAAAAAATATGGAGCAGCTGCACATGACAACCAATCAGCATCCACCTTTTATTTCAAAGCTTAACTGAACAAACTGAAGAGAGAAGCTTGAAGAAAAACAAAAAACTGTAAAAGGCTCCTGCTAAGAGGCTATGTGGAAGCTCTCTTCAATTGGGCTGCAAGGGATTACTGGAAATTAATTTTCTGGATTGCATTAGCAACAAGTTGTTTGCAATAACTCCAGCTTTTTTTAAATTGCTATGATTATATATGATCTGGTCCTTAGGCAGTTTACAATTACGTAAATACGACCTCAGATGAACAACAACATATGACATATTACATTGTTTAACCATCTTTTTCTATTCAAAACCGAAATTAAAAAAATTGTTAGGCCGAAACCGAAAAAAACCTTTATTTAAATATTTTCACATTTAAATATGTTATTTTTATTTACTTTTTAAACTTTTTAATTTTTTTATATTTATTTATTCATTTTTTATTAAATATTTTATACTTTACTTTTAGGGGCTTTGGGGAAATATTAGGGGTCTAAGCAGACCCCTGATATTTCCCTTTTAAAATAGAAAAAGATATACAGTCCTCAATCTCTTTTTCTGTATCCCTTGTTATAAATGAACAGGAATCCTCTATGCTGAGTGTTCCTGTTCATTCATAACATGAGGACATGGTGTGTTTACTATAACTACAACAATGAATGAACAGGAGGTGATGTAGATCACTTCCCATTCATTCATAATTGAGGATATAGTAACCATACCATGTTCTCAATTATCTACAAACACTCAGCGATCACTGAGTGTTTTTTTCCAACAGAGCTCAGTTTGCAAACAGAATCATTTCAACAGTGCTCAGGACAGGACATACTGTTCTGCTTCTGTAACTGACTCATGGCCTCTTCCTGAAGCCCACAAAGTTTGACCTCAACTTACAGTCTGTTTTAAATGGCATCCCTGAGAGTGTCTTTAGGCTGGCCATACATTACTTACATTTTTGAAAGAACTTTTGTACGAAAGAATGTTTGTTCGATTTTCTACTAGTTGACGGGGTGAAAATGATGATTGATTTCGACCAAAATTACGAAAAAAGGAGCAGGATGGAAAATGTTTCTCGAAGGAACAAAATTCAGTGAATGTGGTTTTCATTCAGGAAACTCCATTCATTCCAAAATTGAAAGTTAAAAACAAACAAAATTTTGATCGACATTCATCAAGTGTCTGATGGCATTATCAGGTGGTAAAGCAAAATCTTTTATTTGGAAATCTAATAGTGTATGGGCTAAAGGGATATCAGGGATGCAATATTTCTAGACTTTTCTTTCTATATCTCAACACTGAGACTTATTTGCCATAAAGTTCTCGAAAATCTCTGCCTTTGGGGAAAAAAACTGGCATTTAACACTAAAAAATGTTTTTATATACACTATATTGCCAAAAGTATTGGGATTAGGGCTGCAACAACTAATCGACATAATCGATTATAATCGATTATTGAAAAAGTTGTCAACTTTTTCAATAATCGATTAATCGGCTTCCGATCAGTTGGCCCTGTTCACGGCTCCACACGCGCTGCGCGCCGCACCTCCTCCCCCACCTCACTCTCACCGCCTCCAGACAGAGAAGCGTGATTCGTCACTCCAGAGAACACGTCTCCACTTCTCTAGAGTCCAGTGGCGGCGTGCTTTACACCACTGCATCTGACGCTTTGCATTGCACTTGGTGATGTAAGGCTTGGATGCAGCTGCTCGGCCATGGAAACCCATTCCATGAAGCTCTTTACGCACTGTTGTTGTACCAATCTGAAGGCCACACAAAGTTTGGAGTTCTGTGGCTATTGACTCTGCAGACAGTTGGCGACTTTTGCTCACTGTGTGCTTCAGCATGCGCTGACCCCGTTCTGTCATTTTACGCGGCCTACCACTTCGTGGCTGAGTTACTGTTGTTCCCAGTTGCTTCCACTTTGTTATAATACCACTAACAGTTGACCGTGGAATATTTAGTAGCAAGGACATTTCACGAAACACCTGAATCCAATGATTCGGAGGGGTGTCCCAATATAGTGTATGCACCTTTAAAAAATATTTTTTCTATCGCAATATATGTATAGCTTACAATCATAGCATTATTAAACAGGTTGGCCATGCAAAAATAAAATTTCTTCTAATTACCTTAATGGAGAAACAAATGGGATGCAAAGGATTAATAGAAGTGCTATTTCCCCATAAAGAAATGAAGCTACTGCTGTCCACTGAAAGGTCATTTTACAGCCTTGAAGCCTACAAGAAGAAAAGGTACATAATTTTACAAATCAGCTAACAAACTAATTAAAGCAACACAATATAAAATACATATGTACATTGCAACTGCTAACCAGGCATTAGCACCTAAAATAAGTCAAAACTATCACGGTTTAGGCGATGAAGATTGGATCCAATACCAATAAACTAGCTATACATGCAAACAGTATGGTGATTTTTTGGGTGACTGAAATCATTAGAGGTGTTCATGCGACAGCTTAATCTAGTTGGTCATTTCCCTGCTCTGAAAATGATCTGGCAGAAATCCATTGGTAATGCCTAAAAACCTCAGATGTAATCGGTTCAGAAATGTACATATAGTTACATAGTATTTGAGGCTGAATAAAGACATTAGTCCATCAAGTCCAACCTATTAGGATCTCATTTTAGGAGTACCTGTACCCCTGTATATTACGGTCCCTTAAGAAATCGTCCAAAAGTTTCTTGAACAATTCCACATTCTTTGCTGAAATCACCGCCTGTGGCAGTGAGTTCCAGACCCTAACTGATCTTACTGTGAAGAACCCCCTTCGCCCCTTGTGCTGGAATTTTTTTTCCACCAATTTTAGGTGATGGCCTCTAGTTTTTGTAATGGAGTTCATTTTAAACAGTTTATCGCTAATGCTACTACCACCATTGAACATTTTGTACATGGAGATCATATCCCCCCTTAATCTCCTCACCTCCAATGTGAACATGTTTAAATTTAGTAGCCTTGTCTCGTAGCTCTGGTCCTCCATACCCCTAATTAGTTTGGTTGCCCTCCGCTGGACTTTTTCCAACTCAAGGACATCTTTTCTTAGTACTGGTGACCAGAACTGGACCGCGTACTCCAGATGAGGTCGAACCAATGATCTATAAAGTGGCAAAATTATAGACTTGTCCCTGCAATACATCCCCTTTTTAATACAGGACAAGACCCTGCTAGCTTTGTTTACAGCAGCCTGGCACTGCAAACTACCTTTCAGTTTGTGGTCTACAATGACCCCCAAATCCTTCTCCATTTCTGACTTCCCCAGCGGCATACCCATAATTGTATAACCCATTTGTTTATTTTTAATTCCAAAGTGCATTACTTTGCATTTATCGACATTAAACCTCATCTGCCACATTAATGCCCACTCCCCTATTTTATCCAGGTCCTCCTGTAATGTTATAGTGTCTAAGTCCGTGTCTATTACCCTCCCTATTTTGGTGTCATCCGCAAACACGGAAATATCGCTGTTAACACCCTCCCCGATGTCATTAATAAATAAGTTGAACAATATGGGACCCAGCACAGAACCCTGAGGCACACCGCTCATTACACTAGCCCAGTCTGAAAGGGCGCCTTTTACAGATACCCTCTGGACACGTTCCCGTAGCCAGTTCTCTATCCACGTACACACCACCTCATCTATGCCCATAGCCCTCAGCTTGTGTAGCAAGCGTTTGTGTGGTACTGTATCAAAAGCCTTTGAGAAATCCAGATATACCACATCTACCGGCTTACCTCCGTCCACATCTCTACTCACCCCCTCATAAAAAGTTAGCAAGTTAGTTAGGCAGGAACGATCTTTCCTGAACCCATGCTGATTGTTTTTAAATATAATTTAAATATAAAGGTTTAACAGTTACTAGGTAACACCACTAAGTTTTAGGAGGTGATGTCTAGATGCTGTTGGAGTATGTTAAAGGAAAATTTAGGATGTGGTCCAAACCCTGTGTGTCTGTGGCAAGACACATTAACAAATTAAATATGATTCTGTTCCCTAAATGTTTATATATTTTGGCACACATGCCAGGTAAAAAGGAATTGAACTCTGGAAGATGTGCCCAAAAAACAGGCCGATGGCAAAGGACTAGTCACTGGTATTGCCTGTGGTCTCCCTTTAGCTGATCTTACCCATTACTGACTTACCATGCCTTGTTCTGCACTGTGTCTCTGTGTGGAGATGGATATCTTGGTAGAGGCAGGCTGCTGTTTCCATGTGCCAGAGCCTCCAGCAATAGATACAGTGAACAGTGACAATAGTGACATCATACGTTCTCACTCCAAATCTCATGTCAGGGACATCAATTCCTTATATCTCATGCAGATATACAGCTGTGAAGGCTGGGTCACATCACAAAGAGTGCGTTCCAGAGCGTTAGGACTCTGGCACGCACCCCGACCACCTCCATCCGTTCAGGGGCGTGGCGGTGCATTGAAGTCAATGGCAGCCACACCGACCCATCCGCAGTGCGATCGCCGACACCTGAACACGTGGCACATTAGTGCCTGCGTTCCGGACCAGTGCGATCTGCAAAAATGCTGCATGCACTATTTTTGCAGGTCGCACTGGACCAGAACACTGGCACTAATATGCCACGTGTTCGGGTGCCGGTGATCGTGGCTGCAGTGCCATTGACTTCAATGCACCGCCATGTCCCCACCCGGCCCTGAACAGGGAGCCGGTCGGTTTACGTTCCAGAGGCCGAGCACTCTGGAACGCATTCTTTGTGTTGTGAACTGGCCATGAAGCTGCAGACACAGGAATACCTAGATACTGTCGCATACCAGGAAGTACACTGCCATTTTTCAGGAGGAATTCAAGACAAAGGGTACATTTTATTGGGAAGCACTTAGGCACAATTAAAAGGAGAACTATGAGGTGAGTGAAAAACCACCCCTCCTCATAGTTCGAGCCGACGTGTGACAATGAAACTGTCAAACGTCGGCTCAATAGATCGGGAAGCGAGCGAACGCATACAGTCGCTCGCTCTCTTCTCAATCATCTCCCTGCAGAGAGCCGTGACTGTCACTCACGGCTCCCTGCAGGGATTCCCCACTCTGATCCTCCAGCGCTGACTGACGGAACGGATGGGGCGGGTACAGTTGGCTCTGCCTCTAGATAGACAGAGCCAGCTGTCACTCACGCAGCTGGGCGGATCCAGACATAATTGTTGGGATCCGCTTCAGCTGCCGCGTCTCAGTATACCGCAAGCTGTAGCTCGTGGTATACTGAGCTTAGGGTGACGGGAGGGCGCTAGCTTTTGTCCTCCCGTTACCCTAAGAAGAACTATGGGGAAAAGCCTTAAACCCATAGTTCTCCTTTAATGAACTTGTTCAGAAATATACTAGAATTGATTATTTCAATGTTATATACATGACCTTTTTTCATAGTTGATATTCATAGTATCTGTCATATCGGAAGATCCCAAACTTTATGCTCACAAAACTGTCCCTCCTACACTGACTAGTGGCCTTGGTTTAAGAATACATTTAAAGAAAATCCACGGCTAAAGCCAAAAATGCATGGGATAACGTATACCTTAATGGAATGATATCCATGCAGTATACACATTGCGAGTGAAGAAACATATTAACACTGAATGATCTCTATGAAAATGGGATGCTGTACTTTAAGTCAGCTTCTGGGCCCTAGAAGAAACTTTGTAAAGCTCCAAACAATGCAGCTGAAAGTTCCCTGCAATAAAAGAAAAATCATACTCACCTTTTGTCCTACCTTCCCTCTGTTTAGGCACTGTAGATTCTTTAGGTCTCTTAAGCATTCAACACTTGTGGGAATGACCATTCATCAGAGCTAGTGATTGCCAGCAGATACGTTTTAGATCAAGGGTATGCAAACATGGAGATCTACGTGAACAACATGAAAGAGATCAAAGGTCACCAGTGTGGTTTTTTCTTTACAAGATAACCTAGCAAGTCCCCATTAGAAAGTAAGAAAGGTTTGTAGGGTTCAGGGGTCACTAGTATGTAGGGCAGGGTTTAGGAATCAGTAGTATCACAGAGTTCAGGGATCAGCAGTACCACAGAGCCCATGGGTCAGTAGTAAGGACTGCAGGGTTCAGGAGTCAAGTAACACAGAGATCAGGAGTCAGTAGTAAGTAATCCAGAACTCAGGGGTTAGTAGTAACCAGGGATCAGTGGTATTTAATGCAGAGTGCAAGGGTCAGGAGTAAGTAATCTAGAGGTCAGTAGTAAGTTATGCAGGGTTCAGTAGTATGTAATGCAGAGCACAGGGGACAGGAGTATGTAATGCAGAGGTCAGGAGTATGTAATGCAGAGGTCAGTAGTAAGTAATGCAGAGTTCAGGGTCAGTAGTAACCAGGGTTAAGGTGTCAGTAGTGAGAGTTCAGTCGTCAAGAGTAACAAAGTGTTCAGAGGTTAGTAGATTGTAACGCCTAGTGCAATGGACAGAAGTAATGCAGAGTGAAGAGGTCAAACTGTAGTAACAGAGTTCCACAGCACAAATTCCCCACTCCTCCATTTACCTACCAGACCTCTCATGCAGTGGTGAGTGGGTTACTGTCACAAAACCGGAACAGTGACTGCGGCTGAAGTCACTGTTGGGCTAGTATTATTGGACAAAAGTTGCACACTAGTTGAATTTTGGCCTGCCAGATTCAAACACTGGTGGAATTTCATCTCCGTTAGCAGGACTTAGACCAAATTTGACCAGTGTATGGCTAGTTTTGTTATCTGAGGGGCAGAAATTGTTCATTGCTCATGAACCCCCTGCAACCGCTGAAGAAACTGTAATTGAGAAGCTGGGGCTTGGTGTGAACCCATTTTGCCTGAGATTGCAAAAGTCCATGCAAAACTGTGATTGACACACCCCCTTGCCAGGCCAATCAGTTGCAGCAAAGGCATTCCCTGCAGCTACCTCTCACAAAGAGGTGGGGAATGCCCTTGCTGCAACTGACTGGGAGGAACGTGGGTCACACCAAGCCCCCGCACATCACTAATGGGAACAGGCTTAAAGACACATGCAAAGGGACCCTGTGGCAGTGTGTGAATGATACTGACAGCATGTTAAAAATAAGTGATGAGGCAGGGCTTGAACCCAGCATGCTCATATCAGTGACTGTCACCCCTCCTACCAATAAATCAGTTGCGGCGAGGGCATTCCCCATTAAGGTAGAGGGGGTGGCAGTCACAGTTGTAAACAGGCTCGGGCAAATTCAGGTGAACTGGGTTCACACCATGCCCAGCCTGATCTCTATTAATAATACTGGCAGTATAGACAGTGGCACACTTCCAGTACAATCCCAGAGCCCAATCCAGAAAAGTCTGACTTTGCAGTTCTCTAATAAGACTCACCCTGAGAAATGTCAGAGCTCCCCAGCACCCTAAAAGGAGTGAAGATGGCCTGCAGGCGATGTATCCCCCTTCAGCTGGATCTTATATGAAGACTTCTATCCACATGTATACGTGCTCGGGTCATATAACATGAGAACACAATACAGAGTGTACTATAAAGTGACATCCAAACCACTGCCACTTACCCAGCGATTCCACACACTGTCACAACTCAGGCAGGAAGAAGGCGAGGACTGCGCAGCGTGACGTCACATCACAACTCTCTCCGGCGGCCATGTTTGTGAAGGGCAGGGCTCGGGGGTTAGTGTTGCTTAGTGATGGTTTTGTATTCTAGAAGTGCATTCTGTTCTCGGGACGTATTCCGCAATCACAGCAGCCTGGAATTAGGCTTTCATAGTGCTATGTATGGCAACAGCCTGCTTGTGGTAAAGCTTGGGTTGTTGTAGACCTGATATTCAGAGTAGGGTTGCCAGGGCTTTGAAGCTCGAGCTGGCTGCATTACCTGGAGCGGAGCTCATCGTGTATTGTAGATCTGGAGCTAAGCATATGTAGGTAGCGTAGGGCTGAAATTGGGATGGGGATGAGCCTCAGACTCTGAAATGTGTGTGTATGTGATTGCTCGGTTCTCATTCTATAGAGCTGACATGTGACAGCTTCAGTGTCACACATGGGCTCTATTTATGGAGATAAGTGTATTTCACTCTCCCCATAATTCTCCTTTAAATGGCTTAGATTAGGTATAAAGGGTTAAAATGAACCTGCAGACTGGAAGGGTTAAATTTAAATGGCTGCCCTGTTGTTCCGGGAGTATAGCTTTTGTTAGGGATGATTTGTAATCCTTTCACCCATAATCCTCTCCTGTATATATCAGCTCAATTCTATCTCTGCTCTGACCTGTATATATCACACAGACCTGATTCCCTCACCCGCCCCATACCTCTTCCAACACGGTGCAGTAATGAAGCCGGGAGCCTGACAGGTGGTCATGTGACCACCTGTCCTGTTTCCTGATTTGATAGGAAGCCGAAACCACGCTCCCTCGCAGCTTCCCAGGCACTGAGGACTGCCCCTGTAATGTAAGTGGCAAGTGCTGCTGCACTCTGCATCACTGAGCTGGTCACAGAGGGATCTTTGTGATCTCTCCAGATCAGAGACTAGAAACACAGCACGCGCTGTTGTGGTTTTAGTGTTGCGTTTGGGGTGATTAAGGTGTGCACACGCCTATGCTGCAGCCTTGAGGCTTAGTTCACATGATTGGCAACATGTCATTAATTGTGTAGTAGCAAAACATATGTCCGAATCATGGTAGAAAGTATTCCCTAAAGGGTATCTATGGTCAAAAATAATGATGTATTTCTATATTTAATTTCCATAAGTTCTAAATAACCATATCCATCTAGATGTTTGTCAACTTATTTATTGAAGATGCCCATAAGATGTGCTCCCTCTATGAATATGAGCTAAAGCAGAGACACCGGCACTCCAAATTAGCAAAATACGTCTATTTATTGACGTGCATCGTGGTAAAAAAACAACCCTCTATGAATATATCACGACTCTCACAGAGCCTGGCTTCTAAACTAAAACTCAACGTCTAAGCAATGTAACATTGTCATTTCTTGCTGGAAGCAATGCAAAATGGGATTTGTTGTCTTGAGAAATTGAGATTGCATCACATAAGGTAGCAGGGAAAGAGAAGCAAAGCACACTGGTAACCCAGGAAGTTGTTGACCGGCAGACTGAAGACAGCATTCACTACAATAAAGGGAATAGGTAGTGTACGACCCTGGGTCCTTCCCGGCATCTGCAGTGTTGAGGACGATGTAACTCCTGTGCGCATGCGTGGAAGTTACATCATCAGGGGCAGCCCAATGAGAAAAGAAAATGACAGGGACTTAGAAGAAGCAGCAGAAGAGATGGCTGTGGCAGGGGACGGAGCAGTGACTAACAGCATAGATTGGTCAGCGCTGGAGGAGGGCATACTGGTAAATTATGACAAAAGTTCACCTTAGGTTTTACAACTTTACTTTTACATGAAGTATACTGATGTTCTCTGCAGACGGCAGTGACCAGCAGTCTATGTTCCAGTTGGTATATGACTATCACTATTCAGGTCAGGCCAGTCTATCTGACGGTTCCTTGTTGAGTTATCGGGACCAGAACTGTGGCAGTTCACTGTTCCTGTCTCTGAAGACTCTCACTGGAATTCATAAAGAGTCTCTGAGACACTCATAAGAATCCTGTTCTGCATCCACACAGCAAATGTTGGTGCTTGCACCAGATTCAAATGCAATGCTCACACACAGGTACATACATTTGGTGCAACCACTGGCATCTGCAGTCCAGAGATGCAACAAGGCCAGATTGTCTAAACCGACACTCTCCACGGTGCAGCTTAGTAATGCCAAGCCTCATAAAATCACAGGCTTGGCATTGCTGAGCTCTCAGTTTGCATACTGCACCTGTCACACAAACAGGCGCAGCAGCTGAGAACTTATACGGTGGGTGGGCAGAACCTGACAGGAAATTCAGAGAACTAAGATCCCTATCAGGTCTGCTCTGCTGTAGATTGGCAGTGGGCGGGTGCCATAGCCCATTGCCTGCTGTCAATCAGCAGCAAAGTGGACCTGATGGGGAACTCAGTTCTTTGAATTTCCTTTCAGGCTCCACCCACTGTCAGCTTCACTAGTCGTTAAGGAAGCTGGTGGCTACAGCCACTAGTGTTCTTAATGACCAGTGATGCTGATAGTGGGCAGAGTCTCCTTTCCCATCAGGCTCCACCCACTGTCATTGTGTGTCATTAGTTGCTAAGGAAGCTGTTGGCTACAGCTTTAGCCCACAGCTTCCTTAACGACTAGTGATGCTGACGGTGGGTGGAGCCTGAAGGGGAATTCAGAGAACTGAGTTCCTCATCTGGTCTACTCTGCTGCTGATTGATAGCTGGTAGTGGAAGAGTGCCATAGCCAATAGACTGTTTATGGCAGCCGCCCACTGCCTGCTGTCAATCAACAGTAAGTGCGTAAGTGTCGGTAAGCCTACCAAAACTTGCAACAGGGCTTTTTGGAATAAAAGTGCCCTATTGAATTACCCCCACTGTTATCAGTGGTTGTCAGTTTGTATGCCGTACTGAGGATTTATTTCTCTTATTTGTACTTGAGGCTGTGTATATTCTCTTCCTAAAGAAGCTGCTGTAGCTACTGGGCAGTATGTGAACAAAATATAAATGTATCCCCTTTTTCCTACTGTACTTCCTATATTCTACTATAGGTTTACAGGTTGTGCTTTGTGAGTTTTGATTGCCTTGTTACTAGGAATGCACCGACACCGTTTTTTCGGTATCAAGTACCAATACTAGTACTTCCGATAGCATGGAGCCGGCTTCTCGGGCAATCAGGAAGACGGGCAGCTGGCTTCCCAGCCAAGCCGGGAGGCGTGCCATTTCCCAGGCCCGGCTTCCTGATTGGCTGGGAAGCCG